ATAGTCATGCTGTAGTCCCTTTTCCATTTCTCCATCCTGTCAGAATTTAGGGCTTGCATACACCCATACCCAAAATAGTTTTTAAGCCACTAGGATTCAAACTGCAATTGTCCATGTGGGATCTGGCTCCTGATGTACAGCACTTAAACCACTGCACTATAGGGCCAGCCAATCCACTGTAAAGTTTTGTTTTTCTTTTTCAGAGAGATTTTTGCTATAGGGCATGTGCACTCGCCAGAGAGAGAGAAAGCAAGAAATCAACACCACCACCACCCCGAGGTGATGGCCATGCCACAATCCGTTCTCCTCCAGTCTCCTCTGGGGATCCTAGGCGCACACACACACACACATGCCTGGCATGAATTTCAAGTCTCTGGGTCCAGGACTCGAACCATGGTTGGTCATGTGGAAGTCTAGCTACATAATCACTATACCATCTGCTGGTCCCAAGTTTTTATGCTACTTTTCATAATTAAATAGTATCTTGTGGAGGGCTGGCCCCATAGCGTAATGTTAAGGGATAGCCTAGTGTTAAGGAAGCTGGATCTCATATGACTGATCTCTGGTTTGAATTCCAGTCCCAGTAGCTTGTGCATGTCTCAGCACCAGGCACATGTGCACATGTGTCCCAAAACCTGAGAGGATAGAGAAATAGAAAAGAAGGAACTGCAGCATGACCACACCCTGTTAGGAGATGATTTCTCCCTCTCTCTCCCTCTCTTTATCTCTCTCTTGTGAGCATATGCACCCTCTGTATATGCTTACATATGTGTAATATGTAATAAAAAAAAACTTATGTTGTAGAGATACATTTTGAGACTGTATAAATATCCTGTTATTCTTCACACTTTTACTCAGTTTTTTTACATCTATTGATGACTCTTTCTATAGCACTTCTATTTCATATTTCTAAATGTAATATGTTGAGTTGATAATACATGCTCATGGTTCAAAGTTTTTAAAGTATAAAATATGTGCGAAAGTATAAAAAGTTCTTTCTCCCACTTCTGTTCCCAGATACTCAGTTCTCCTCCTTATGTGCAATCAGTGTTCTGTGTGTATGTGTGTGTGTGTTTGTGTCCTCCCAAGGACATTGTGTACATATGTAGATAAATACAGCCATATCTGTGTACTTTATACACTGTTCTATACCTTGCCTTTCTTCACTAAAATTGTATACATTAAAGATCACTGTAAGGGTCAGTAGGTGGCATGCTGTTTAAGGTGCTGGATTCCCCATGACCAACTCTGCAGATCAAGTCCTGGACCTGGCGGCTTGAAAAATACACCGGGTGCTTCTGCATGCATGCTCAGAATCCCTGGAAGAGAAGGGATTGTGTCATGGTCAACCCCCTGGGGGTAACATCTCACTTTCCATCTCTCTCTCTCTCTGGCAAGTACACACATCTTATGGCAAAAATAAAATACATACATATATACATACCTTATCTTAGAAAACAAGATCACTACATATATATTCCAGTTATTTATTGCTTCATAACGGATCATCCAAAGCTCACTGGCTTAAGTAGCAAAAAGTTTTAAATTTTATCTTTCACAGTTCTGAGGCTTACATGGGCTAAGATAGACCATTTTTTTAAGTTTTTTGCGATAGGGTACATGTGCTTACTTGCCAGGGACAGACAGTGAGAGATAAAGTGAAAAATACCCACTCTCCCCAGTGGGAATGGCCATGACGCAGTCCCTTCTCCATTTTCCTCCTGGTATCTGGACACACAAGCACACGTGCCTGCCATGATTTTCAAGCCAACAAGTCCAGGACTCAAAACAAAATTGACCATGTGGGAGTCTAGCACCTTAACTACCATGCCACCTGCAGGTCCCAAGTGAGATAATTTTTGCCCAGGGTCTCACAGTCAGTTTTGGTCAGACCGTCTGGGCCTGGAGCCATCATAAGTCTTGCTCACTTTGTCATCTGGGGTTGATACTGACCGCTGGCTACAATCTCATTAGCTTTAGCTAGAATACCTACAAGTGACCTCCCCATGTGTCCTTCTACTTCCTCACAGCATGATGACTAGGTTTTAAGAGAATGTATTCCAAGAAAAAGCTCGTTGGAAGCTGTATTACTTTTCATGACCTAGCCTCATGAATCATATAGCATCATTTTTACCTTAGTCACAATATGTCTGGGTTCAATAAGAGGGATGCGGACTCCTCTTTTTTTTAAGTTTATTATTTTATTTCTTCAGAGAGAGTGAGAGGGAGACCTCCAATAGGGTCTTCATGCCATGACCCACTCCATCCCCAGCCAGCCTGGATCACAGGCATGTCTGTGCTTGCTAGGCCTCAGACCACAAACCCTGGGATCGTCCCATCTGGGTCCAGAATAACAGCATTGCATTACCACTGCACCACCAGCTAGCCTCAGACTCCACATCTTGATGGAAGGAATGTGAAAATCACATTGTAAGAAGAGCATATTGAATGGAAAATTATTGTAGTCATTTTTGAAAATACAGTCTGCCACAAACTAGATCTACTATATATGTTCTTAATAGCTGTGTAGCATTTCATAATTTTGATATACCACAATTTTTTATCTAGTCTCCTATTTCCTAGTAATTCACTATCTAAAACAATGCTATAGCAAATAACCTCATTTCACACGTGTGAAAGGAATTTATCTTATAGAAAAACCAGAAATGAAACTGATAGATCAAAGAATATACTTTTAAGTTGTACATTTCAATGGCTTTTAGTATATTCACAGTGTTGTGCATCCTTCATCACTCTCTATTTTAGAAGATTTTCACTTCCCCCAAATGAAACCCCACTCCCTTTATCCATCAACCCTCAACCTCTCCATTCCCCTAGCCCTAAGCAACCACTAATCCACCTTTGCTTTTACAAATTTGCCTATTTCAGACATTTTATATAAATGGAGTCATACAATATGTGTTCCTTCGTAACAAGTTTTTTCATTTAGCATTTTTTTTTTTTGGAGAGGTTTTTGCTATAGGGTGTGTGCGCTCGCCAGAAAGACAGAGAGAGACAGAGAGACAGAAAGTGAGAAATCACCCCCCCCCAGGAGGATGGCCACACCACAATCCCTCCTCCATTCTCCTTTCGGGATCTTGGGCATGCATGCACACACGCCTGGAGTGAGTTTAAACCACTGGGTCCAAGACTCGAACTGCAGTCGAATACATGGGAGTCCAGTGACATAGCCATTATGCTAACTGCCGATCCCTCATTTAGCATAATATTTTCAAGACTCATCCATGATGTAGCAAATATCAGTATTTTCTTTTTTTTAAATTTTTATTCATTATCATTATTCTTCCATTTTGACCAGAGAGAGACAGACAGAGAGAAAGGAAAAGTAGAGAAAGCAAGGCGCCAGATCCGGGACCTAAACCATGGTCAGCCATGTGGGAGTTCAGCACCTCAACCACCACACCACCTGCCGGTTCCCAGTATTTTATTGCCAAATATTATTGTCTGTGTGGCTATACCACATTTTATTTATCCATGCATTTGATGGGCATTTGAGTTATTTCTAATTTGGGGCTATTATAAATAATGTTGTTATAAACATTCATGTACAAGTTATTTTGAACATACGTTTTCATTTCTCTCAAATATACAATTAGGAGTAGAAATGCTGAGTCCTACAGTAAATTTTATGTTTAACCATTTTAAAAACTGCCAAACTTTTCATTTTTTTAATTATTAGTATGTGTTTACAAATAGCCTCCCCAGAGAGATTGTCCCAGTTGTCACTTCCACCACCAACATATTGAGTATTTATGTTCCTGTGTGATTTTTGACAACAAGATATTTTTAAAATGTTATTCAGCTCCTGAAATAGAAAGATGGCATAAGTGGAAAAACTGATGAAATCCATGTAAGAGTCTAGAATGTAGTTAATACCAATGTCAGTTTTCAGTTTTGACAAACAGTACCTTAATGATGTAAGATGTTAACAACAGTGGAAATTGGGAGAGGTGTATACAAGAAATATCCACTTTATCTTTATAACTTTTCTGTAAATAAAAATTATTTAAAATAAAAAGCTTATTCTAAAATGATAAATTATCTTGATTTAAATTAATTTTTATTTTTTATTATTAGTGAGGTTAAGTACCTTTTCTTATTTTTAAAAGCCATCAGTATTTATTTTCTCAGATTGTTTATTTCTTATCTACTTGTTGGAATTGTTTATTTATATATAAGGGAAATTAGCCTAAATATTTTTTCCTAGGTTGTAATTTTTCCTATGACTTTACTTACAGTGGTGTTAGCAATGAAAATTTTTTGTTGTTGTATGTACACAAAAGTATAAACCTTTTATTTTATGGCACTTGATGTATGTTTTATAGTTAAAATGTTCTCTTGCCTCCAAAGTTATAATCTTTCATATTTTTTCTAATACTTTTACATTTAGATCTTTGATACATTTAGGATTATGATGTATACAGTGTGAGGCATGGGCTCAATTTTTTCCCCCAGATGGCTATTTGATTGTCTTCATATCATTTAATAAATGTCTTTATCATATATTAAATTGCCAATTTTATAGAATTTTATATATAGTTTATGGTATTATAGTTCATGGCATTTCATAGTTGACTTGTGTTACAGTAATTTTTACAAAAAAATGCATGTGTCCTTTAAAACTAAACACACATCCTTCTTATTTATTCATTAATTCCTGAACTATAGCATACTTTCTAAACTTTATCAGTTAAGTTAAATTTTTGTCTTTAGTTTCAGCTATGTTGAAGTCTGTGAAAAGGGTAAAAGAATGCATTTTATCAAAGCATAGTTGAAAGTGAGACTTCTTCTTTCTAGGTATTTGGCTTTTTGGGTTGAGTGTTAATCATAGTTTTACAAGGATTCTTAATAAATAATTATCAGTTTCCTAGTGAAAGAGATCTATCAAAAACAGGTATCAATCCATTATTGAAATTAAAAAAAAAATTGTTGCTGAGGCTTTACTTACAATTAATGTTGTCCTGTTTTTCAAATTCTAGAGGACCTGACTGGGACACTGGATTGTATGATGAAGGGACTGCTACAGTCAGAGAGCTTCTTACTGAACTATACGGAAAAGTGGGAGAAATTCGTCACTGGGGCCTAATCCGGTACATCTCTGGGATCTTAAGGAAGAAGGTGGAAGCACTCGATGAGGTACTAAAATTCTTCTTGAATTTATACCAAACCTAAATCGGGATGATTTTTAAAAAATTAGTTTCCATAATTAGTTTTTGAGACAACCACAGGCTGTAATCATTTGCACATAAAGTTCCTGACATTCAGTTAGCTTTTTATTTGTGGATGACAAGGACATTACTGAAACATAAGAATTATAGACTAGTATAGGTATCATAACCTATAAGAATTCCATGTCTTAAGAATGAATTTGCATGAGGCTGAAAGTTCCTACCTCCTAGAAGATAAAGACTTCATTATCCCTTCCCAGAAATCCCTCTTTCCTGATCTTCATGGTTTTTCCTGAGGAAGAGAGTTTGATATGTTATTAAGTTAAGGGGGAGTAAAGGTTTCTTTTTTTTGAGAGAGAGAGAAAATGTTTGCTATAGGGCACATGCACTTGCCAGAGAGACAGCGAGACATAAAGCAAGAAATCACTGCCCCACCCCACTGAAGGGATGGCTATGCTGCAATCCCTTCTCCATTCTCCTCTCGGGATTTTCAGCAGGCACGCACATGCACCCAGTGTCAGTTTTAAGCCACCAGATCGAGGACTCGGACTAGTTGACTACGTTGCTAGAAGTCCAACGACGTAACTGTTACACCATCTGCTGGTCCAAAACATTTCTAGACACGAGAGAAAAGTTCATAGAAGTCTAAGGTGTTATATTGGGTCATCAGAAAAATTATGACATATTTTTCTATATTTTTATGCAAAAATGTGTCATGACTTTTCCAGTGAACCAATAGAATGGATGATGCTATGCTGTCTCTTCTAGGCCTGCACAGACCTTCTCTCCCACCAGAAACATTTGACAGTGGGACTCCCTCCAGAACCTCGAGAAAAGACCATCTCTGCGTGAGTATAGTATTTTGTTTGTTCGTTTGTTTGCTTAAGGTTTTGCCATAGGGTTCAGGTGCTAGCCTTCCTGTCTCTTCCTGAGACAGAGAGAAGGAAAGTAAGAAATTACTTCCCAGGGTGGAGCAGGGTGGGGTGGCCACATCACAGTCTCTTCTCCTCCATTCTCCTTTTGGTATTCTGAGCACATGCACCTGGCATGATTTTCAAGCTGCCAGGTCCAGGACTCAAACTATAGTCAGGCATTTGAAAATCCATAACCTTAACCATCAGGCTACCTGCTGGACCCTTGAGTATGTTTTTTTTGTTGTTTGGTCAACCTCTCTGAGCCTTTAAGGAGCCATGAGGAGCCATGAGCACTTGCCACAATTCTCTTTACCTAATCTGGTTTCGATGACCACATCCTACATGTGAGCACTTTTATCAGAGACAGCAGGAAAATATCGATACTGATAGGGCACAAGTAAGTTAAAAAGAAAACTCACAAAGAACAGTACTCAAATTTCTTTTACTTAATAGCTTTTCCAAACCTTGCATTCAAGAAACAAAACAAAACACGGACCAACAGTTGGCGTAAGGGCTATGTCACTGGACTCCCGTGTAGTTGACCGTGGTTTGAGTCCCAGGCCCAGTGGCTTAAACTTACGTCAGTCACATATGTGTGTGCGCCCAAGATCCTGAGAAGAGAATGGAGGGGAAGGGGTTGTGGCATGGCCATCTTCCCCCAGAGGGTGATTTCTCACCTTCTGTCTCTCTCTGTCTTTCTGGTGCGTGCATGCACCCTATAGAAAAAAAAGAAAACACTCTGAAAAAAAAAAAAAAAAGGGCAATTGGAATTAGTATCAAAAAATCAGCCATACTCCGAAAAGAGGAGGTGGAAGAAAGTGTCTGGCTGGAGCACAGGGCTGATGAAACTCCATGTTGCTCAAGAAGGAGTAAAGGGGATAACCAGAAATCACCTCAGAGGCACAAGAAATATGAGAAACCAAGAAAATACCTCTCCTCCAAGGGAAAAAAATAACTCCTCTTCATCAACAGACAGTACAATGGAACTCATGGAAATATCTGATAAAGAATTTAGAATAGTTGCAATGACAAAGCCAACAGAGATGCAAGAGAAAAGAGACAATGAACTCCAGATGATGCAGGAGAAAAGAGCTGATGAATTCCAGGAGGTGAGGAAGCTCTTGCACAATCTGAAAGAGGAAATACATGCCATAAAAAAAAGGAATCAAAAGGAACTGTTAGAGATGAAGGCTATAACACAGGAAATCAAAACCTCCCTTGAAAGTATTAAGAGCAGACTAGATCATACAGAAGATCAAATCTCAGATGTAGAAGACAAAAAATCACTGGCCTAGAAAAATCCACCATGAAGACAGAAAATACCCCCCCACCCCTCCAAGACACAGCATAGCCAGATTGACCAAAACCACAGACAAAGATAAGATACTAAGATTGGCAAGAGAGAAACATCAAGTTACCTCCAAAGACTAGCCCATCAGGCTAACAGCTGACCTCTCACCAGAAACAATGTGAGTGAGGAAAGAATGGGAAACTATATTCAAAGTGTTAAGGGAAAAACAATTTCAACCAAGAATTCTGTACCTGGCAAGATTACCCTTCATATGGGAAAAAAAAAAAATTAAAAAATTAAAAAACCCAACATTCTCAGATAAACAAAATCTGGAAGAATTTACCAACACCAGACCAGATCTCCAAGAAGTTCTAAAGGGAGTGCCATACCAGGAAAATTAAACACAGACATACAGAAATAAGAGTTCAAAAACAACTAAGAAAATGGTCAACTTAATCATAGGGACAAGCCAGGAGTTGATTATTATATCCCAAATTTAATCTGGAAGATCAGACCACGACAGAAGTATATGAGACTGAACTGGTGAAATAGAAACTTATGACTTTTGACTAAAACATTGCTGAAACTTAGGACTAAAACTAAAGCGTTTACTTCTGTGCTTTGTTTTCCACATTTAAGGATTTTTGTCTTTTCTTGAGCTGTCGATATAGGTTCATGTACCTACTATTTAAACAGAATTCTAACCTGTTTCCTGGCTTTAAGTCTTAAGCAAAGTTCTCTGAATTTTTTTTTTGATGTATTAAAGCTAAAACTGCTTTTCTTGAAATTTAAAAATAAAATAAAAATATCTATTTAATGACCACAGTAGGCTATATAGCTTCAGCTAGGTGCTACTTTATAGTATATTTATTCTACTCAGAGTTTCATGCCTAAAGTCAGACATGTGTTCACAGATATGTATGTATCAGCTGAACTTGCTATTGAAAGTAGTTAGATTAAGATATTTTGTGAATCAATAAAATGCGGGGAATTGGGAGAAAGGAATGGAAAGCAACTGCAGATACCAGAGACAGTGTGGGAGGATGGTAGGAAATGGCAGAGGGTGAGAAATAGCAGGATATAGATATAGATATATAGATATAGTTAAAAAAAAAAAGAAAATTAATTGTCGCCAATAGCATGTATGATTAAGCCACTATACAGTGTATTCTGGATGGGAAATCACATTTTGTATGCTGTGATGATGTTCAGTGAATGAATATAAAATAAATAAATTCAAAATAAAAAAAGATGTTTTTGTAAAGTAATAACATGACTTCCGAAAGGCACAGCTTAAAATTAGTTTATTACTTTGTAGCCATAATAGTTACCTATATAATGCTAAGGACTATGAAAGAGTAGCCTGGGAGGACATCATGAAGTGAGAATTCAATACAATTTTGAAGGAGGAGGACAGTCCATGTTTCAAGAGGAAGGAGCTCTCCTGAGTTGATATAGGCCAAAGTGGTTTGGGGGATGTAATGAATGTGCTTTGAAGGTGAAAAGTACCAGAATGTTACCAGTGATAATATGTTGAGGCAGTGACTTGGACTTGAGAGGAACTTCTATATTTTTTATACTTAAGTTTAAGTGGTGGCAAACTTTTGTCTTTTCTTCATTGTCTTCTTTCTTCCTCAGACCTCTGCCCTATGAGATGCTCACCCAGCTGATTGATGAAGCCAGTGAAGGGGACATGAGCATTTCAATCCTTACCCAGGTGGGCAGAATTATAAAGCCTAATGCAGTGATTGATATTCCGAAGTTTGTTTTCAATTGATCTGGAAATTTCCAAAAACAACAAAATCAGCATTGTGAGACCTAGGCCATAATTTTTGTCTATATCCATTCTGTGCACAGGAAATAATGGTATATCTAGCCATGTATATGAGAACTCAGCCCAGCCTCTTTGCTGAAATGTTTCGACTTCGAATTGGTCTGATCATACAAGTTATGGCAACAGAACTGGCCCACTCCCTTCGATGTTCAGGTACGCAATTTAGTAGCAATTTTAGGTGGAATTTACTTTTAATGTAGGTCTGTGAAGTTTGGAATCAGGAAAGAAAAAAAGCTATCTGCAACTCAGAGGCTACATATAGCTTAGTCACTATTTATACAAGTCAGAGGACTGATACAGCACATTTGCCTGTTAGTTCTACAACTTCAAAATGCCTCTTGGGGGAACCAGCAGTTAGCATAATGGCTATGTCGCTGGACTCCCACGTAGTCGACCGTGGTTCGCGTCCTGGACCTGGTGGCTTAAAACTCACGCCGGGCGTGTGTGCGTGCGTGCCCAAGATCCCGAGAGGAGAATGGAGGAGAAGGGATTGTGGCGTGACCATCCCCCCTGGGGGGTGATTTCTCGCTTTCTGTCTCTATGTCTCTGTCTGTCTAGCGAGTGCATGTGCCCTATAGCAAAAACCTCTCAAAAAAAAAATGCCTCTTGGAAGTTCTGCAATCCAAATGCTTCTTAACTAACTGTTCTTAGCTAACTTTATTCCTGCTCATTTCTTTTTTTTTAATTTCAGTTTCTTTTATCCATTCAATCACATATGTCACTTAGCTTGTAAAGTGAATATTCCTGCTAATTTCTAGAGTGCTCTGGAGAGAATCTGACTGTGACAGCCAGGTTAGGTTCTGATTCAGGTCATGGAGTTTCCTGGCACCAAAGTTGAGTGACTAAATCAGTGAATCATAGCATCCATATTCCATCTGGCCCAGACCATGATCAAATAAAGGGAAGAAAATAATTTTATTAAAATTATCTGGCAAGACTCTCTTTGAAGTTAACTATTGGTATTATATATATAACAAGATCAGTTTTATTTAGAAGAACAGTTGGAGTCTGTAGAAACTGTAGAGAGGAACCAGCAGTTGGCATAATGGAGAAGGGATTGTGGTGTGGCCATCCCCCCTGGGGGGTGATTTCTCGCTTTCTGTCTCTGTCTTTCTGGCAAGCGCATGTGCCCTATAGCAAAAACCTCTAAAAAAAGAAAAAACAAAAAACAAAAACAAAAACAGAAACTGTAGAGGAAAATTGTAGAAAGTTCAAGGGATAAAGGAACCTCTATGATAGGACTCTTATTTGCATTGGTATTTGAGTTCAACAAGAATAGCAAAATAATAGAAATAGAAATGGCACATAAAAATAAATCACAGCTGTAAAACTCATTTTTAGCCATTGTTTCAGTTAAATTTCCCCAAAAGGCTTTTAACTGAGTTGTTAACAAGTAGCCAAATTTATTGGTTGAAGTCAAACACATGAGCTAATTTATTTATTTTGACAGTATAAAAAGGTTTTTGAATATACTGGATTGCTGTATTTGATAGAAAACAATCAGAAATTATTTGTTTCTTTCTACCTATGTTTTATGAGCGAGGTGATTGTTCAGTAATGATCATCAGTGAGGGATAACACCCCAAACATTCTTCACTTTTCCTTAATTGCTTATTCTTTTCTTCCTGCGGATTAATCAAAACCATGACTGCAATGGGACCAGCAGATGGTGTAATGGTTATGTTGCTGGACTCCCACATGGCCAACCGTGGTTCAAGTCCCAGACCCAGTGGCTTGAAAATAATGCCAGGCACGTGTGCGTGCATGTGCAAGAGCCTGGGAGGAGAATGGAGATGGGATTGCAGCATGGCCTTACCCCCTGGGGGGTGATTTCTCACTTTCCCTCTCACTGTCTCTGTCTCTCTGGTGAGCACATGTATCCTAAGGCAAAAACCTCTTGGAGAAAAAAAAAATGACTCCTTATTCTTTATAGGATAAATTTAAGATACCTGGGTCTGATATTCAAGACCTTAGCAGTCTAGCCTCTATGTACTATATCAGCAGTACTTCCCACTAATTTTATCAGTCCTCATTCTTGGAGAATGCTGTCTTCTCTGATTTCCAAAGCACTTATTGCCTGTATCTCTCATTTAGAACATAGCATATGTCATGATTTCTTGTTGTTTATCTTGTTTACGTGTTCTATCTGTCCCAAACAAGTAGTCAACCTCTCAAGGGCAGGTACCATGTCATACCTATTTGTAGTAACATTGCTTGAAATGATGACCTACATGTAATAAACTCGTACTATGTGTCTGATGTTGGTGAACAAGTTCAAGTTATCCTTCCATCCGTCTTTATAATTTTGTGGATTTTTATCTATTTTCTTCTAAGTCTCCACATTTCCAGATTGAGAAGTTTTTCTAAGAAGTGTTTATTTATTTACTTAAATATGACCAGAAAGGGACAGAGAGAAAAAATAACAAAGCAATCCACCAGGTCTGGGACTCAATCTTTATTCGGCCATGTGGGAGTCCAGTGCCCTTAACCACCACACCATCTGCCAGACCCTTGAGGAGTTTTAATTACTTCAGCCCATCTAAATACATATATTCATCACCTTTCCCTGAACGGCTTTCAATTCCCTTGTTCTACTTTCATTCTTCCCACCTTCAAATAAAGATTCTACCTAGTACACTTATGGTGTGGAAAAGGAGTGCAGAAGATATCAATGACTTGGCTGATCTACAAACTGGTTAGCCAGTACTTAAATCATTAATAATCTATTTCAGTATGGGGGACCTCATGGGTGGCATGTAGGTTAAGATGGCTAGACCCCACATGGCTGACTGTACGGTTCGAGTCCTGACCTGTCAGCTTAAAAATTATGCCAGGTCCATGTGCATATGTGCCCAAAATCCCTAGGAGAGAATAGAGGATCTCTCGATCTCAATCTCAATCTCAATCTTTCTCTCCAGAGAGGGCACATACTCTATAACATAACTAAAAAAAAATCTATTGCAATATCAATATCTGAGCAATATTATGTAGGAATTTATTTTGTAATTCTATTCTAATCAAGTGATGCAGAAATTCTTAACAAGAAAGAAAAAAGAGAAAAGATAGGGAGGATATAGCAATTGAATTAAAAGTCCTTTTGTCCTAATGTTTTTGCTGACTAGCTGAGGAAGCCACGGATGGCCTGATGAATCTTAGTCCTTCAGCCATGAAGAATCTCTTGCATCACATTCTCAGTGGCAAGGAGTTTGGAGTGGAACGAAGTGGTAAGATTGAATAACTGTATTTCCATTTCAGAGTGTTTCGTTTCAGTGTTTTCTTGGTTTGGAAATGATTTTATTTCATTAGAGGAACCTCTTCCCAAATAGATAGAACTCCAATATAAAAAAAAAAAAAAACAGTAAAAATCAAAGCTTTTTTCCAAAACCACATTTGGAAACCACTATGCATCTCTTTTTTTCCTTAAATGATACATCAACTAAATGGATTGATTACTATCATGTTTTTCATTGTTTTAACCATCCACTTATATTATCCCCAGTCTCTAGGACAACTTGACAACCCATATCATCTGAAACTTTCTTGAACTCTAATTGGCAATAATTCAGTAGCACTTGGAATATTGTGTGTATGTATGTTGTTACTGCAGTACATCTAATGTATCCTTTCAGCTTTAAATTCAGCTACACCTAGGATTCCATCTCAAACTAGTCTCCCACCTGCACTTGTGGTTTCAGCAGTATTAGTATTATATACTTCACGTAGTGGAGCAAATGAAAAAAGATTATCTATCGTGCTCAACTTTTGGGCTTAGGATGAAAGGTCAGGTGGGTAGATGCTAGCTAGATCTTAGAATGTTAAAAGAAAATTAGAAAGTAGTACTCCTAAAATTCAGAATTTTGCTGAAATGAAGATTCTGATTTCAGTAGGTCTAAGGTGGGACCAAAGATTCTGCTAACAAGCTCCTAGGTAATGTTGATGCTAGTCCATGGCTCACACTTTAAATAGTAAGGCTATAGTTGATTTGTAGAATTAAATTAAAAATAAGAGAATAATATACATCTAAGTCATTTTAACATGGTGGAGAGGAAAAAAATTGAACCTGATAATCGCTCTCTTTTTCTTTATCCTTCATGATGTAGTTCGTCCCACTGATACAAATGTCAGTCCTGCTATTTCTATACATGAACTTGGTGCTGTTGGAGCAACAAAAACGGAACGAGCTGGGATCATGCAATTAAAAAGTGAAATAAAGCAGGTAAGATACAGAGTAGGAGGTTACTGAGATATTGCCATATTTAAGAACATTATTTTGGAATCAGACTTTTGGAATCTGTTTTTGTTTTTTGTTTTTTGGGGTTTTTTGTTTGTTTGTTTGTTTGCTTTCCTTTTTTTGCTTTCCTTTCTTTTTCTTTTTCTTTTTTCTTGTTTTGTAGCCTGGGTTAAATTTGAGCCATTTATTTTTCAGGTGGAATTTCATAGGCTTTCCATTGCAACTGAGAGTCAGGTGAAACAACTAGAGGTCCTTTAACATAGTTTAACTTGCCTTTTAGTTCTGCATAACATGCATGAACTCATTGCTCTTTTAAAAATAATGTAACAAGCCATGGAATAGCTTGTTTGAATTTTCTTTACAACAAACATTTTGTTGATAGCTTTTCTTTTTCTGAACCAAAATGCTTTGCTAATTTTAGGGGGAAGTAATTTGCATCTAATATATTGCAAGACATTGAAACCCTGAGCTCCTCCTGTTAGGACTAACATATAATTAGGGAATTAATTTTCTAAATAAAATTAGACATAGATTTCTTACTTTTAGGATTAGTCGAGGGCCTTAGTTTTTATTTTCAGGTATTGTTCTAAAACTAGATTTTTGTCATTGCCATGATACAGACATACAAAAAGTACTGTTGACGCACAGAGAAGAAACATCTAAATCAGTCTGAGAGTTGGGGGAAGTCACTGAACACCATATTGTAGCCTGTTACTTTTCCCTGCAGGTGAAAATAGATAAACATTATACAAAGAAATAGTTAACAAAAACTTTCATAGCTGCTTTTAGAGTTCTAGAAAATCATATAATTTCAAGACTTCCAAGTTGAGAAGGTATTCATTTGGTCTATCCTAGAAGCACTTTCTATGAAAAGCCTAAAACTACTACTCCTGGTTTCAAAATAGAATTATAACAGCTTACAATATTAAAGTACATCCAGAAGAGGAGAGGTGAAATGGAGGGTTTTTGTTTTTTGGTTTTGGGGTTGTTTTTTTTTGTTTTTTTGTTTGTTTGTTTGTTTGTTTTGCTTTCCTTTCTTTTTCTTTTTCTTTAAAGGTTTTTGCCATAGTGTGCATGTGCTTGCCAAAGAGCCAGAGAGAGAGAGACAATGAGAGGAAAAGTGAGAAATTGCTCCCCCAGAGGGGATGGCCATATAGCAATCCCTCCTCCTCTATTCTCCTGGTATTTTGGGCGTGCACACACGTGTGCCATGATTTTCAAGCCATCGGATCCAGGACTTGAATCATGACCTTCCATGGTAGAGTCCACCATGCCACCTACTGGTCCCTTGTTTGTTTTCTTAAAAAGGAGTCAGAAACCATTTAGGAGGAGAATGAGCCAATGCGTGAAGCTGAATTTGCCCTCTTTGATAACTATGTGGGGGAAAAAAAAATTTTTAAAGTAGTTTTATTTATTTTACCATTTACTATGATTTCTAGAAATAGGCTATTTCACCAGCTTCTTAATGATAACATGGTTCGAGTTCAATAGTCTGCACTCTACTGATAACTTTTTAAAACACAAGTAATGCTTTTCCTCATTCCTTTTAAAATTTTATCTTCTAAGTTTTTTTTTTTTTTTTCATAGTTCAATGGTGGTCATGCCCTGTGTATAGATTTGATGTCAACGTCTTTTCTGGTAACTCCTGCAAGTGCTTTGAACATGCTGTTACATAAATTATGATATATACCAGTTAACTAAAAAGAAAAGATTGATCAAGAACTATAAAGTATAGGGAACCAGCAGTTAGCGTAATGGCTATGTCGCTGGACTCCCACGTAGTCGACCGCGGTTCGTGTCCCGGACCCGGTGGCTTAAAACTCACGCCGGGCGCGTGTGCGTGCGTGCCCAAGATCCCAAGAGGAGAATGGAGGAGAAGGGATTGCGGCGTGACCATCCCCCCTGGGGGGTGATTTCTCGCTTTCTGTCTCTATGTCTCTCTCTGTCTGTCTGGCGAGCGCACGCGCCCTACAGTGAAAAATCTCTCCAAAAAAAAAAAAAAAAGAACTATAAAGTATAAAGTAACTTTATATCTGAGGGTGAAGTCTTTTCATTCCTTTCCCAATAAGGCAAGGAAGGGAGTTCAAGTTCATACTCTTTTCCATTTCAGAAAACAGAATTCAGTTTTATAAGTATTTGTTAAATATCTGTTCATTCATTTGTTCTTTCAACTAATATAATTTATCTCAAACCTACTGTGTAGCAGGCACTGTACTAGACAGCATCAGCATCTCTTGAGGACCTATTTGAAATGCAAATTCTTGATCCCCATCACTGAATCATAGAGATTGGGGTGAGCCCCAGTAATCTGTGTTTTAATAAGCTCTTTATGTGCTACTGATGTGTTTTTAAGTTGGAAAACGCACCCAACATGAGTTTTAAGCCATCAGATCTGGGACTCAAACCACAGGCAACTATATGGGAGTTCAGTGACGTAACCATTACACCATCTGTTGGTCCCCTATTTTATATGTATTTCTTAATCTAAACTATCGAATAATCACAATTCTCAATCTGTTTTATCACTTACTAAATATAATTTTTTTGGAAAGATTTTTGCTATAGGACACTTGCCAGAGAGACAGAGACAGAGACACACAGAAAGTGAGAAATCACCCCACAGGGAGGATTACCATGATGCAATACCTTCTCCTCCATTCTCCTCACAGGACTTTGGGTACATGCATATACACGCACCTGGCATGGGTTTTAAGCCACCGAGTCCAGGACTTGAACCACGGTTGACTATGTGGGAGTCCAGCGACATAACCATTGTGCCATCTGCTGACGCCACTAAATACAAGTTTTTGTATGGACATATGTTTTCTACCCCCACACATACATATACATTGTGTTTGGCATTCTGAGGAACCGCCAAACTTTTCTAAGGGGGGTGTCCCATTATATATTCTCACCAGCAATATATGAGGGTTCCAGTATCTCCACATCTTCAACAATTCTTTTAATTGTTTTTTAAAAATTACTTATTCCATGAGTCAAAGAGACAGACAGAGAAAGAGATACAGTACCCCCAACAGGGTCTTGATGCTACAATCCACTCCGAAATCCAGCCAGATCTGGATCATGAGCTCACATATGCTCTGCATATTTAGATAGATCTCTCAACATGAACATGGAGCCTTCTCATTCAGATCTGCCTCACAGAGCATTGTGTTTTACTGCTGTGCCATCATTCAGCCTCTTGTGTCTTTTTTATTATAGCCATTCTATTAGGTGCAAAGTGGTATTTCATTGTGTTTTTGATGTGCATTTCCCTGGTGGTTCATGATATTGAGCATCTTTTCATGTGCCTATTGGCCATTTGTTTATCTTCTTTGAAGGTTGTCTGTTCAGAGCCTTTGCTTATTTTTAAACATTTTTTTCTTCTGATTGTTGAGTTATGATGATTCTTTATATATCTAGATACAAGTCCCTCATTAGATATACGATTTGAAAATATTTTCTCCCATTTTGTGAGTAATCCTTCACCTAAGTGGTATTCTTTGAACAGTAAAAGTTTTTTTTTTATTTTGACAAAGTGTTACTCAAGCGTTACAAATGTTACTCCCGTTTTTGATGTCATAGGCTTAGAAGACTTTGTCTAACCCAAGGTTGGAAAAGTGTATTCTTCTGTTTTGTTCCTCTTACAATTTTAGCTTGTATACTTAAGCCTATGCTTAGTTTGGGGGAATTTCCAAGACCATGCCCAGAATTGATGATTCATTAGGAGGACTCTCAGAACAGCATATTGTCATAAGCACAGCTATAATTTATTACAATGAAATGCTACAAAGTAAAATAGGCAAAGGAGAAAAGTGCATTGGGTAAAATCCAGGGAATATGGGTGCAAAATTCCAGAGTATCCTGCCAGTATGCCACTTAATTCCCCCTGCAATGATTGTCAGCCAGGGAAACTCATTACAGACTCAGAACCTAGAGTTTTTTTGTCATCATTGTTCTTTTTTGTTTTGGGGGGGGAGTTTTTTCATGAGGTCCTTAAAACATTTATGGGTTATAAAAACATCCCTGTGTCAAATTTTTTAACTGGCCTCTGTCTGACATGTACCAAAACTTCAGTCCCCTAAAAGGAAAACAAGTGTGCAGCGTAAACCATAGTGTTTGTACAAATGTTTTATGCACACTAAACCACTGTTATCAGTTCTGGAAATGGTGAGAATCCTCCCCTAAATCCAAGTTTCTAGGTGAAAGCCAAGGGTCAACCTTGTATGCAGATCATTCTAAGAACAGTAAGTTCTGGCCTGTTGTGTTAACTATTTTCTGCACAGTGATCCATTTGTACTGAATATTTGTATATGGTGTGAGGTAGAGGGTCCAATCTTTTGCATATAGATATCCAATTTCTCTAGCATCATTTGTTGAAAAGACTTTCCCCATTTAATTCTCTTGGCACCCCTGTTGAAAATTAATTGACTAAAATGTCATTTCTGAATTCTCAATTCTAATTTCATTGATCTGCATATTTATAGTTTTTTATTATTGTAGCTTTGTAGCAAATTTTGAGAGTATGAATCCCTCAACTTCAGTCTACTTTCTTTTTGGAGATATTTTTCTATAGGGTGCACTTGCTCACCAGAGAGACAGAGACAGAAAGCAAGAAGTCGCCCACCAAGGGGGTATGGCCATGCCACACTCCCTTCATCTCCACTCTCCTCTGGGTATTTTGGGCATGCACATGCACACGCATGCCCAGTCTGGGTCTCAGGCTGCAGAGTCTGGGACTCGAGCCATGAAGCTGGCCATGTGAGATCCAACACCTAAAACCTCCATGCCCACCTACTGGCCCAATGTCCTTATTTTTTAAGGTTGAATAATATTTCATTGTAAGTATATACCACGTGCTTTTTTAAAAACCATTCAACTACTGATAGACAGTTAAGTTGTTTTCATATCTTGGCTATTGTAAATAATGCTGCATCAAAACATGGAAGTATAAATATCTCTCTGAGATCCTGATATCAATTCTTTTGGGTAAATACCCAAAAGTGGGATGGCTAGATCATATGGTAGTTCTATTTTACTTTTAATTTTTGTGAAGAACCTTCATAGTGTTTATTCCATAATGGCTGCACCATTTTTCATTCCCACTCATAGTGTATGAGGGTTCCAGTTTCTTGATATCCTCACCAACACTTATCTCTTCTTGTTTATTTTTCATCTTTTCTTGTGTGAGAGGGAGAGAAAGAGTATTTTTGACAGGGTCTTGTCATGCTACAGTCCTCCTGCCCCATCCTCACAGTTAGTTAGGATGGCACATGCCTGCCATCCTTGTTTAGGTTGGTCCAGAAATTGAACCTGGGCCTCCTATGTTGCTCTGCTTCAGGCCATGTTATCTTTCATAGTTTTGTTTGTTTGTTTTCTTTCTTCCTTTACTTGTGATAGAGTATGTGTGAATGCATTTGTGAGAAAGAGAGCAAGACAGAGATGAGCACCCTCTATGCACCCTGGCCATACCACCATCTACCTCTATAACTCTTGCCCATCAGATCTTGGGCACTCACACACGCACCTAGCATGTTTCATGTTGAGCAGGCTGAGGATTTAAACCATGGTCACCATGTGGGTTCTGGTTTCTCTTGAACCACGAAGCCAGCTCTCTCTCGCTCTCGCTTTCTCTTTTTATAATGGCCATAGCAGAAGTGAGGTAATATCCCACTGTGGTTTGATATTTATTTCCATGGTGACTAGTGATATTGAATATCTTTTCATATACTTGTTGGTCACTTGTATACCTTCTTTGGAAAAATATCTGTTCAAGTGAAATAGTTGATTTGTGTTATTGATCTTATATCATGCAACTTTACTGAATTCATTTATTATAGCATTTTTTAAGGTTTTTGCACATGTACTCAGCAGAAAGGGAAAGTGAGAACACCCCCGCGGGGATGGACACAATCCTTCTCCTCCATTCTCTTGAGATTAGGGTGCATGCGCGCTCACGCATGCACACACACACACACACACACACACACACACACGGCATGATTTTCAAGTCTCCAGGTACTGGACTCAAATCATGGTCAGCTATGTGGGAGTTCAGCACCTTAACCACCATGCCACCTGCTGGTCCCTATTATAGTTGTTTTTTAGTGAATTCCTTACAGTGTTTTATATCAACGATTATGTCATCAACAAATATGCTTCTTCCTTTCTAATATGGATGCCTTTTGTTTCTTTTCATCCTTAATTTCCCTGTCTAGGACCTTCAGTGCAAAGTTGAATAGAAGTGATGAAAGTGAACGTCTTCATTTTGTTATGATCTTAGGGGAGAAAGCATTAGTCTTTGATCACTCATGCTAGCTGTGTTTTTGGAGGGAAAAAAAAGTGCTAGCCTTTTGTTAGATTCAGGAAGTACTCCTCCGTTCCTAGTTTGTTGTTCCTAGTGTTTTTATCATGAAGGTGTGCTGTGTGCTGAATTTTGTTTTTTGGTTTTTGTTTTTTTTGTTTGTTTGTTTGTTTGTTTTTAACATCTATTAAGATGATGTGGTTTTGGGACCAGCAGTTAGCGTAATGGCTATGTCACTGGACTCCCACGTAGTCGACCACAGTTCGCGACCCGGACCCAGTGGCTTAAAACTCATGCCGGGCACGTGTGTGTGCATGCCCAAGATCCCGAGAGGAGAAAGGATTGTGGCGTGGCCATCCCCCCTAGGGGGTGATTTCTCGCTTTCTGTCTCTCTCTGTCTGTCTGGCAAGTGCAAGCGCCCTATAGCAAAAACCTCTCCAAAAAAAAACCAAAAAAAAAAAAAAACAAAAAACAAAGATGATGTGGTTTTATCCTTTATTCTGTTGATACAGTTTATTAGTATATTTTATTAATTGATGTTCATTTGTTAAAACAACCTTGAATTTCTAGAATAAATCCTACATCATCATGTTTATATATCATTTAATTCAGTTTGTTGGTATTTTGTTGAGGGTTTTTTATATTTATACTAATAAATGATCTTGAACTATAGTTTTCTTGTAATGGCTTTGTCTGGTTTTGGTATCAGGGTAATACTGACTTCATAGAATGAGCTGGGAAGTGTTCCCTCTTTTATCAAAGATTTTGTGAACTAGTGTTAATTCTTATGTTTTCAGAATTTACCAGTGAGGCCATCTATACTTAGACTTTCTTTGTGAGAAGTTTTGTACTTACTAATTTTATCTCTTTTTTAGAGAGGTTTTTTGTTTTGTTTTGTTTTGTTTTGTTTTGTTTTGTTTCGTGGGTGCACGAGCTCACCAGGGACACAGAGAGAGACAAAGAGAGAGAAAGTGAGAAACCACTGCCTGGGGAGATGGCCACGCAGCAGTCCCTTCTCCTCCATTCTCCTCTTGGTATTTTGGGCATGCACACATATACACCTGGCAAGAGTTTCAAACCCCTGGGTCTGGGACTTGAACTGTGGTTGACCCTGTGGGAATCAAATGCCTCAACCACTACGCCACCTGCTGGCATCATCTCTTTATTTGTTACAGTCTATTCAGATTTTCTGTTGCTTTATGAGTCAGTTTGGGTAGTTTGTGTCTTTCTAAGAATTTGTTCATTTCATCTAGGTTATGTAATTTGTTAGCATATAGGTGCTGGTGATTTGTCCTTATAATTTTCTTTGTTTCAATCCTCTCTTTCCCGTCTCCTTTTTTCTTGATCCATGCAGCTAAAGACTTGTCCATTTTGTTGGTATTTTCATAGGAACAAATTTTGGTTTCATTGATGTTTTTTCTTACTGTTTTTCTATTTTCTTTCATTTTATCCCACTCTAATCTATATTTCTTTCTTTCTACTTGCTTTCAGTTTAGTTTGCTCTTCTCTTTTCATTGTCTGAGGTGGGGGGATCAGTTATTGATGTGACATTTTTATTATTTTAAAATATAGGCAGTTATAACATAAATTTGTAACTAAGCACTGTTTTACATACATTCCATAAGTTTTGGTATGTTGTGTTTTCATTTTTATTTTTCTCAGAGTATTTTTAAAATTTTCTTTGTGATTTTTTTTTCTTAATTGGTAATTTAAGAGTATGTTGTTTAGTTTCCACGTATTTGTAAATTTCCTTCTGTTACTGATTTCGAGTTTAATTCCATTGTAGCTAGAGATCATATTTTGTATGATTTTGATTCTTTTAATTTTGTTGAGACCTCTGTTATGGCACATGAGAGCAACAAACTAAGCCACAGGCCAGCTAAAACTTTTAACAGAGATAGCCAGGTAAAGAGACAAATAAGAAAGTCCCATGTCATTAATATTTTTATGCTCTTCTTATATATCAACAATCACTTTCTTAAAGAATTGTATCAGTTTATAGCACTAATAAATACAAATAAGCCTACTAGTTTCACTGTAACCTCTTTATCTTGGCTGTTTTACTTAATATGTGGTTTATAATTCTTCAGAGTGTGTACTGTTCATTGTATCATAATACTTCACCATGAAAACAGAAATAACTTATTTATTTATATTCTTTCCTCTCCTCTTCTCCTAAGTCACCTGGAACCTCTGTGACTCCAAGTGGTGGGTCCTTTCCTAGTGTATATGGTCAACAAGTATCTAAAGATAGTCGTCAAGGTCAATGGCAACGCCGAAGAAGACTAGATGGAGCACTGAATAGAGTCCCAGTTGGATTTTATCAAAAAGTGTGGAAAGTTCTGCAGAAGGTGAGACAATACTGATGTTTCTTTATCCACCCGCCCGAAAAAAAAACTCTTAGTCTCCTTGGCTGAGATATGACATATAACTATAACATGACTATAATTATGTCAAAGTCATATGGTCTAATGTACAAAACATAGAAGGAAACATAGTGAAACTGTTGATTTGTCTTTGAGGCATTATTGATAATTTAACTCCTTTCCATTATTGTTGCTATGGTGTTTTTTTAAATGAGATTTTAAAAATCATTACTTCTTTGCATTTGGTCACAATGTGATACATTTGCTGCTAATCAAATGAGTTTGGTGCTAAAGAGTTCACTCTCTTTGTTGCATTTATGGAGTAGAAATATTATTTATAGCAATGTGGTATTTTTAACCAAACACTACCATAGTAAAATAAATGCAGAATCTGGAGATCTTGATATATATATACACACACACACACACATATATATACTACTAAAGGCAAAGCCATAATGATGTTAGTAGTCCAAAGACTCTTATGTGTGACCAGTATCTTTTTCCACTGACCTATTTTGCCAAAGACATTTAAAAGCACATCCCATCATTATGGTGGTGACAGTTTCAGAAGGCCATGAGTTGCACTCATTGATAGGTCTCATTTATAGTCCCTGAGGTGCCACTTTGTGATTCATTGCCCTTGATAATGACCTAAAGAATAGTTTATCCAGGACTTCAAAACCTTTAGTTTGTGTGTGTGTGTGTGTGTGTGTGTTTTGGATTTTTGTTTGTTTTTTGGTTTTTGTTTTTTTTTCTCATCAGAACACTGATGCTCTTCCAGTGATAGAATCAAGTGATCTTTAGGAAAGGTGAACATTGATTCTTCAATCTACCTGCTCTGTTGATCTACAATACCTTTCTAAAAGTACCCTGAATTTGATTTCCTTCTGTAGCACAGTGGTGACAAATATGTATTTTTTTTTCTCTCCTGTTATGCATGGATCATGACCATATTATTTAACAGGCATATCAGGTGTGTTCTACCTCAGATACCATGTAAAGTATCTTCCTTGTCATCAGGAGATTAATCTATAGTTATCTTTTCTTAAAGTAGCTGTGGGGGCCAGCAGATGGCATAGCAGTTATATTGCTAGACCCCCATATAGCCAATAGTGGTTTGAGTCCCAGACCCAGTGGCTTGAAAATCATGCTGGGCATGTGTATGTGCATGCCTAAGATCCCAGGAGGAGAATGAAGGAAAAGGGACTGTGGCATGGCCATCCCGCCAGGGGATGATTTCTCACTTTCCCTCTCACTGTCTCTGCCTCTCTGTCTCTCTGGTGAACACACATGCCCTAAGACAAAAACCTCTTTTGAAAAGTGTTATGGGGGCCAGCAGGTGGCACAGAGGTTAAGGCAGCTGGATCCCACATGCCCAACTTCGCAGTGTGAGTTCTGGACCCAGTGTCTTGAAAAACATGCCAGGCACATATGTGTGCATGCCCAAAATCTCGAAAGGACAATGGAGGAGAAGAGATTGCTACATGGCCATCCATCCTGGGATGTCTCTGTCTCTCCTTGGCAAACACACACTCCCTACAACAAGCTAAAAAAAATTAAATCTGACTGGGAAGATAGGGTATTTTGTGATAGACTCAAAACAAAGACTTAGGATCCCAGTGTAAGAGACATATGCCCTCTCTTTTTTCATACTATTCGTTTCAGAGTACAAATGTAAGATAATGTTTTTTTTTCCCTTAGGTTTTTGCTGTAGGGCACATGTGCTTACTGAAGAGAGACAGAAGGAGAGAGACAGTGAGAAGGAAAATAAGAAACCACCCCTCAGGAGGGATGGCCATAACACAAACCCTTCTCTTCCATTCTCCTCTTGGGATTTTGGGCATACACACACACACGCACCACACATGATTTTCAAGCAGCCATTTCCAGGACTTGAACCATGGTCAGCCATGTGGGAGTCCAGCACCTTAATCGCCATGCCACCTGCTGGCCCATAACATAATCATTACACATGAATTTCAAGGCTTGTAATTCTTTGTATGAAGATTGTTACTTGGGATATGTAATATGTAATGGAAGTGTCTATTATGATCAGTAAACCTGATGGATTAGAGTATCTGTGGTTATTTATCATATACTGTTTTGATTTGTTTAAAATATAAAAGGGCAAGTCATTAATTCCCACTTTTTTTTAAAATAATAGAGGTGGTAATAAGAGGGAAGATAAAATACCATTCATTCATAAAATATTTGTTGAGCAACTACTGCACACTAGGCTTTGTTCAAGCTACTCATACAACAAAGAACAAAATTGACAACACTCTCTGTCTTCATGGAACTTATATCCTTCTAGGAAGAAAGAAACAATAAACAGTAAGCATAGTAAATAGATAAGTATAGAGAATGTGAAAAGATGATAAGTACTATGAAAAAAAGTAGAACAGGGTAAGAGTATTAATGGAGGATGAGATACTAGAAAATGATTCGGTGGACCAAAAAATGCAAAATTATCTGTTGACGACAGTGTGTATGGCAATTTCTTTGACTGGACTAACATGTGATGTATTCATACTGGGAAAATTCATTTTAAATGTTGCAAATATATATAGTTATTGAATGTAAGGAAAATAAGAAAAAATAAAATAAAATAGAAAAAAGGTAACTGTCTAATAAATGCATATCTTGAACTTTTCCTGCTGCCCGAAAAATCTTTCTAAAGGCCTATTTATGATGACTGTGGGACCTAACATCATATTCTCTCAGGTAGTCTCTGAATATTTGGGGCTAGTCTATCTCAGAAGGTTGATGTCACCTACCCATTCCACTCCCCTGAGAAGAGGATGAACCTTGAGTCTCCCATGGTCCAACTCTCTCCATCATAGTACCTAAGAATTTTGACCCTATAGCAAGCACTTGGGCTGCAGGACATCTTGCTGGGCTGTGGTTACTCAGCCTATACCCTGTGAAAAACACTAGAAATACAAAGTGTTCACTTATATCCTCCCAGTTGTTAGCCTGTCCTTAATGACAACATATTATTTTCTGTTTTGCAGTGTCACGGACTTTCTGTGGAAGGTTTTGTTCTTCCCTCTTCAACCACTAGAGAGGTAAAATTCTATGTATTTTATATTAATATGACTGATAACTTGCCTGGTTAAAGTGACAGACCTTTTTTTTTTTTTTTTTTTTGAGAGGTTTTTGCTATAGGGCACATGCGCTCACCAGAAAGACAGAGTCAGAGAGATAGAAAGTGAGAAATCATCCCCCAGGGGGGATGGCCATGCCACAATCCCTTGTCCTCCATTCTCCTCTTGGGCACGCACGCACACATGCTCAGTGTGAGTTTAAGCCACCGGGTCCGGAACTTGAACCACGGTCAACTTCATGGGTGTTCAGCGACATAGCCATTATGCTAACTGCTGGTCCCGACAGACTTATGTTTTTATAAATCAACTGAAAATGAAATGCATTTGAAAAAAGGAAAGAATACTTTTAAAAAATTGAACAGATCAGCCAAATAATGTGATTGAACGTATAAAAGAAAATGAAATAAAAAAAGAAATGAAAAAAATTGAACAGATCAAAAAAATAAAATAGCAATATTGGAGAATAATTATGTATTATGCTAAAGATATAAGAACAGCTTTTTTTTTGCTACAGGGAGCTTGTGCTCTCTAGAGAGACAGAGAGAGAGAATGAGAAAATCATGAGGGATGACCATGTTGCAATTCCCTTTCCTCCATTCTCCTCTCAGGATTTTGGGCTTGCATGCCCATGTGCCCAGCATATTTTCCAAGCCACCAGGTTTAAGACTTGAACCACGCATCAGCCATGTGGGATCCAACCTCCCTAACCACCATGCCACCTAGCTGGCCCTAAGGACAGCTTCGTTTTTTGAATTTATTTTCCTTTGTTATTATTATAATTTATACATTTAATTGCTATACATCATTTAGATTGTAAAGAGAGGACAGCTTCTTTTAATGGTTGATCAAGTTAGACAGATTTATGTGAAAACTGGAGAGGGCAGAAGGGATAGAAATCTAAGGTGAATGTCTTTTTACATCCACCCTCCTTTCCTCATTTCCACCTTGAAGTAGAGGGTAGAGGGATGCTTATAGATGATCAGAACATAAACTAGTGGTCTTTGCTGAAACTATATATTGAAGTAACCTGGGCTCCCATCTCTAAGTAAGTAGATTAGCATCTCCAAGAATGTGGTCTGAGCATATGTATTTTTTTAAAATCTGAATGAACCACAGACATAGATTATCAGGTGCTTTCATATTTTCTCTTTTGTCTAAATCACACAAAAATGATAAATAGCTTTTGTACAGACTCAACAAAGGAGCCAGTATTAGGAAGCTCAGAGTTGTAAAATTAGACAGTAAAAAAATTCTCTAAAACACAGCTTCCTAATACTGGCTCCTTTGTTGAGTCTGGACAAAAGCTCCTTGGGAGGCTGAGGAAGGAGGATCACAAAAGATGAGTCCCTGTGTAAAACACAGCACAAGTGCATACATGTGCATATGCACACAGAAAAAAAGAATGCCATGTCTCCATTTGTCTTTTCTCTGCCTTTAAGCAAGGTTGAAATGTTGATAGAATTAATAATAATACATGCCTCAATATTACCTTTAAAAATCTTTTAAGCACTTTCACATTATTTAATTTTATCTTCAATACAACTAGGTGATATAGTGAAGGAGGGATTGTTATTTCTTAATTCACAGATAAGGAAACAAATTTAAAGAGACTAATTGTCCAAAGGTATGTAACAAGTAAGTGACAAAGACAGGATTTAAACCCAGGTTTTTTAGACTCCAGATCTCAATTGCTTTCCTAGAGTATATACAATTTTACTAAAAATTATTTCTCACTTCTCTTTACCCTAAAATAACTTTATATTTCTTTAAGTCGTTGTTTCTTGCTAGGGGGCATGTGTGCTCACCATAAAGAGACAGAGAAAAAGGGAGAGGCAGAAGAGAAAGCATCCCCCCGTGGAGTATAGTCATGTTGCCATCCTTTCTCCTCCATTTTCAATGCTGTTGATATTTTGGGCATTCATGCACACATGTCTGACATGTTTCTCAAGCTGCCAGGTTCAAATGGCAGGGTTGGCCATGTGGGATCCAGTTGCCTTAACTACCAAGCCACATAGCTGGCCCCTTAATGCCAATTTTATTCTAACAGTATATATTAATAGATGTTTTACACAATTCTAATCATAATATGTCTATACAGTTTTAAGTTCTACTTAAAATTTTCCTTTATCTGCAGTCATCAGGTTTTTGATTTGTTCGTTTGTTTGCTATAGGGCACATGCACTCAACAGAGAGAGAGAGACCAGAGGAGAGGGGGTGACCAGAGGAGAGGGGGTAAGGAGGAGTGAGAAATCACCACCCAGGAGGGATGGCTAGACCGCAGTCCCTTCCCATCCATTCTCCTCTCAAGATTTTGGACACAGAGACCCCCAAAAACACTCAGACAAGAAGCCATTTTAAATCTGAGGTGTGTCCTATCATGTTTAGGGGCTAGGGTGACTGAAGTTATGCTCTAAACCTCATCTCCTAGACTCCCAAAACACTCAAGACAAGAAGCCATTTTAAATCTGAGGTGTGTTCTGGTGCCTTCAAGGGCTAGGGTGACTGAAGTTATGCTCTAAACCTCATCTCTAGCCCACAAAAACACTCAGACAAGAAGCCATTTTAAATCTGAAGTGTGTCCTGGTGCCTTCAGGGACCAGGGCAACTAAAGTTATGCTCTAAACTTCATCTCCTAGACCCCCTAAAACAGACAAGAGGAGAGATTTTGTCACAGAATGACCAGAAACTGCTGCAGAGGCACAAGAAATATGAGAAACAAAGAAAATATCTCTTCCCAAAGTGAAAAGAACACTACTTCATCATCCACAGACAGTACAGTGGAACTTGTGGAAATGTCTGATAGAGAATTCAGAATATTCATACTGACATAACTAAATGAGATGCAAAAGCTGAGAGACAATGAACTCCAGAAGATGCAGGAGAAAAGAGATGAGTTCCAGGAGGTGAAGAAGTTCTTGCACGATCTGAAAGAGGAAATACACACCATAAAAAAGAATAAAATGGAGCTGTTAGAGATGAAGGCTGCCATTCAGGAAATCAAAACCTCCCTTGAAAGTATTAAAAGCAGATTAGTCCATGCAGAAAATCGAATCTCAGATGTTGAAGGCAAAAACCTCTGACCTAGGAAAAAACAACCAAAAAATCTGAGAAAAAAAATGAGAATACTATATGAGAAATACTAGATACCATTAAGTGTCCAAACGTCTAGATAATTGATATCCTAGAAGGTAAACAAACTAACAGGGGCATTGATAATCTATTCCATGAAATCCTAGAAGAAAACTTTCCAAACCAAGAGAGGCATTCAAATATCCAGACCCAAGAAATACAAAGGACCCCTAATAGAATCAACCCTAAAAGATCTTCTCCAAGGCACGTAACAGCCAGATTGGCTAAATCCAGCAACAAAGACAAGATACTAAAATTGGCAAGAGAGAAACGTCAGGTTACTTACAAAGGTTATCCCATCAGGCTAACATCAGACCTCTCATCAAAAACAATGCAAACAAGGAAAGAATGGGAAAATATATTCAAAGTGTTATGTGAAAAACAGTTTCAACCAAGAATACTATACCCAGCAAGATTATCCTTCATATGGGAAGAAAAGATAAAAACATTCTCAGATAAACAAAACCTGAAAGACTTTACTAACACCAGACCAGCTCTCCAAGAAGTTCTGAAAGGAATACTTTACCAGAAAAACTAAAGACCACATACAGAAATAAGAGAACAAAAAGCAACCAGGAAAATGACCAACCTAATTCTAGGGACAAGAAATATCAATAATAACATTGAATGTTAACTTACAGGATTTAAACGGAAAGATCAGGCCACATTACTACTGCAAATTCAACAGAAGAAAGATTAATTATGTAAGACTGAACTGGTGAAATAGAATTTTATGATTTTTGACAAATACATTACTGACTTTTTTCTTTACTATGCTTTGTTTTCCCAATTTAAGGATTGTGCTTTCCTTTGAGCTGTTGATAGGTTTAGCAATTTGTTAGAATGTTTTTTCTTCTTGTTTTTTTTTTTTTTTTTTTTTTTTTTGTGGAATTATAAAATTTTTTTCCTTCCTTCCTGACCCCTCTGGAATTGGGAAATATTTGGGAGTATTATTTTGTGGCAGAAGGGTTATTTGCATAAGTTCAATATTACCTGTTGCCTTGAAAGAGAAATTGGAAATACTCCTTATTGGACAGGGCTTTGACTGGAATGTCATATCTGAAGATTTAACCAGAAAACTATAGGACTAAGGTAAATCTCAAGTAAGCCAACAGAAGTTCTTGGAAAGATGGCCTGGCACCATAAATAATTCTCCCTGGCAGAGAGGATTAGAGAAGCTATGTGAAAGAATTTGTACCATAAAATAACCTAGACTTTTCCATTCCAGCATTGTAGTCAGTAGAGATTGGAAAAGAGCAGCCAGAACCCAGAGGATTATTTTGAGGAAGACTTTGAAGGAATAAAAAGAGACTGATCTTTGCTAGCAGATGGTATATCACAGGATACTTGGTAGACAGGGCTGAATTGAGGAGATTTATGTGTGAATTGTGGGCTGGGTGTTTCTTTTCAACAGTTTGAGTAGTTGACATGCATATATTTTCTCAAAAGTATTTAAAAGCATACTGTCTTTGCTGTTGTAGAGTCAAACAAAATTATAACAAATATTTCAAACATTATCTTATAATTAAGGTTTTTGAAATTTTAAAAGTTGTTTACCACGTGTCAAGAACTAGGAGTATGAGCAAAACTTTTTTGTTATGTAAAGTAAATGTGGGAAAATGTAAAAATAAATAAATAATTAATTGGGAAAATATTTTGGACACACACATGTAGCTGGCATGTTTTTTAAGCTGCTGGGTCCAGGACTTGAACTATTCAGTCAGCCATGTTGGATCTAGCCCCCTTAACCTCTATACCATCTCCTGGCCCCATACCACCTGCTGACCCATCAGGTTTCTTTTTTAGGTGGCTCTATTAAAACTCATGAAGTGGGACCAGCAGATGGCATAGTGGTTATGTCACTGGACTCTTACGTAGTTGACCATGGTTCAAGTTCTGGACCCAGTGGCTTAAAACTCACAACAGGCATGTGTGCATGTGTGCCCAAAATCCTGAGAGGAGAATGAATTGCAGCATGACCATCCCCCTGCAGGGGAGGTGATTTCTCGTATTCTGTCTCTGTCTTTCCAGTTTAGCACATGTGCCCTATAGCAAAAATCTCTCTTTAAAAACAAAAACAAAACAAAACAAAACAAAAAACTCATGAAGTTACTATGCCATGATATGCCATTATTTATAAAATCATTCCATGTTTAGGTTAATTCTAGTTTTACCCTTGTGAATAATACTGATATAAATACTCTTGCACATAGAGCTTTTTTTTTCTTCCTTTTTTGAATTAAATCCTTAAGATAAAGTCTCAGAAATAAGATTATGGGTTAGAGGGCATTGACATTTTTATGATTCTTGATATGCATTGCCAGATTGCTTTTAAAAAATATCAAACCAGTCCAGTCAGGTGGTATGGTGGTTAAGGTAACTGTATCCCACATGGCCAACTCTGTGGTTCAAGTCCCAGACCCAGTAGCTTGTAAAACATGCCAGGTGCATATATATGCGTGACCAAAATCCTGAGAGGAAAATGGAGGGGAAAGGACTGCAACATGGCCAAAGCCTTTGGGGAGTGATTTCTCTCTCTCTGCCCCCTCCAGCAAGTATGCATACCCTATAGAAAAAAAAAATTCACTTGAGTACTTTAAAGGAGGCTGCAACAGTGCTCATGGTCACAGTGTTTTTACTGCTTTTCAAAGTAGGTGATTGATGCCTCCTGGATGATGAGCTTTCAGGAAGTGACTTTCTTTTTCTCCCTCACAGATGACTCCAGGCGAGATTAAATTCTCTGTTCATGTGGAGTCTGTTCTGAATCGTGTGCCTCAGCCAGAGTATCGCCAGCTCCTGGTTGAAGCCATCCTTGTCCTCACCATGTTGTCAGATATTGAAATTCATAGCATTGGCAGCATCATTGCAGTGGAAAAAATAGTGCATATTGCCAATGACTTGTTCCTTCAAGAACAGGTAGGTAAACTTATTGTCTGCTCAAAGGAGAACGTTCTATGCTAACTGGACTACATTCAGAGCTCTTCATGAAACCAAGGTCATTTCTCATGTCCTTCTTGCAGCTCTTTTCTGGATGCCTTTAGTAGTGGGCTGTGAACTGTGTTTGCAAAAGTAGGCTGCAGAGGGACCAGCAGTTAGCATAATGGCTATGTCGCTGGACTCCCACGTAGTCAACCATGGTTTGAGTCCCGGACCCGGTGGCTTAAAACTCATGCTGGGCGTATGTGCATGCGTGCCCAAGATCCCGAGAGGAGAATGGAGGAGAAGGGATTGTGGAGTGGCCATCCCCCCCGGGGGGTGATTTCTTGCTTTCTGTCTCTCTGTCTCTCTGTCTCCCCAGTGAGCTCAGGCAGCCTATAGCAAAAACCTCTCCAAAAAAAAAAGTAGGCTGCAGGATGACCTCTGTCTTTCACCATGTGTTTTGTAGTTTGCCTTAGATGATAAGGTTGCCTGGAATGGAGAAAGTTTTATGTTTTTCTTTGAAAAGCCCTGAAGCCTAGCATTAGTATCATATTTCACATTCCTAATTTTCTGCAATGCTTTTGTAGCTTTTAAGACTTAAAAAGAGACTATTGGGTAGCATATACTTTCTTGACTATTAAGGACAAAATAAGATTTATTTTTGCTTTTGTTCTGGCTTTGACTTCCCCCATGGTGGGGGGGGGGAGCATGAGACTTCAGAAAATTCCTGGTAAATAGAATTAAAGTACAAGTTTATTTTGGCAAAAAACAATTTTGAAAACTATGCATAGTTTTTCATAATACAGGTTTGTTTTTTTTTTTTTTTT